TGGGTTCATCAGATCCACGGCGAATCATCAGGTCCAGGCTGACCAACAGTGTTTCAGTTTCCAGCTGATGACGTAACCGGCTGCTGTTCTGTTTCTCTCCAGTCTCTGATTCTGAGCACGGCCGTCCCGACCATCATCGGCTTCAGTCTGTGGAGAGAGGTGAGGAACGGCTGTTCATTCCCAGGTTCCTGCAGGGAAAGCGTTTGGAGACGCTTTCTGTGGTTCCACCTCAGAACCTCTTTCTATTGGACGGTTCTGTGATCCTGGTGGGAAACTGATTAATCTGATAAATCGCCTCAAAAAGGGGAAAAAATCTCTCATCTCTGGATTAGAGATGGAAGCAAATGATCAATCTATGATTGTGGATTAATAATCTGTTAGACTGAATCTGTTCCATCAGATTAGTTGGTTTCGTATTTCTAGTTGTAATGTTACTGTGGTCCAGCAGAGGGCGCAGCTCTGCATTCCTAAGCAGAGTCTCCATTCATGGATCAGAACCATGTTTGGATCCAGAGTCCAGATTATTTCCACTCATTAATGATCCAGGATGAACTTCCTGTGGTTCCGTTAGTGAATCTAAACTCTGATAAACTCCGGTTCTCCTAAAGGGTCCGTTTAGCGGCGCTGATGGAGGAGCAGCAGAACAGGATAGAAGAAGACATGCTAGCAGTTAGCATGGTGGATGGAGGAGCTTTATGAGGTCATGACCTTCATGGAGCCGAGTTCTAACGTCCCTCTGAGGGGAACCAGAACCAGAACCAGAAGCTCCTGTTTAAAGCTCTGCTAGCAGAACCAAGGCTCTCCCAGCTCTGACAGAGTGACACACCCTGTCTATTAATGATAGATCTACGTCTCCTCCCTGGAAATCAGAAAGAGTTTCACAGATTTTATGCATCCATATTTATTTAGTAACGTAATAAGTTCCTGTTTTGTTTTATTTTAGAAGTTTAAAATGTTTTTATTCTGTCAGTATTAATACAGCGGGATCAATAAACTACTTTATTTTATTCAGCCAATTATAAAACATATTTATCCTTCATGTTCTGAAAGATCCTTTAATGAACTTTACATAGATTGGTTGATCTAGAAGCGTCTCTCTGATCTTGTCCTCAGGTCTCTTTGTGACGACCTTCTTCCTCATAGATCATCTCCTCCAGATAAACCGTCTAATGACCTTTCCCCTCTGCCCCCCCCTGCAGTATTACCCCCGGGTGTTAGCGGATCTAGCCGATCTGCAGGAGTTCTACGACCCGGACACCACGGAGCTGATCGGCTGGATCAGGTGTTTCCTCAGGACTTCCTGTATCCGCAGGTCTGTGGCGTTCAGTCGGGCTAATGTTGTTTCTGCGCAGGTCTCAGGCGCCGGCCGTGTTCGCCGGCAGCCCTCTGCTGCTGGGAACCATAAAACTCTGTTCTGGGTCGGCCGTCACCAGTTTGCCCATCTACTCTGACATGGACCTGCTGAGGAGGAGCGAAGAGGTGAGCTTCTAGATCTAGGATCTAGATTCTTCTGGATCCGTTGTTTTCTGACCCTTCGTTCTGTTTAAAGTGGATCTTTGTTCAGGAAGCAGATTTAAAGCCATGTTTACAGATTCCTGCTGGGAAAGAATGACTCATCAAATCTGCGGAAGAATGACTCATCAAATCTGGAAGAATGACTCATCAAATCTGCTCTAAAACATTTTAGTGAATTCAGGTTTTAACAGAAGAACTTTATTCTGCAGGAAACCGATCCACCGGTTTATTTATCAGCGCTAACAGCGTCAGGTCTTCTGCTCTCACGGCGTTCCTATGGGGAGAGAAAGCCCACAGCATCACAGGTCCTCTGCTGTAGCCAGCAGTGGGACTGACCACATTTCACTCATGGTCAGACTGGACTTCAACTAGTTCTGCTAGAACCGATCCCGGGTCCGGTTAAGTTTCTTGTAGAACCGGTCCCCGGTCCGGTGAAGGTTCTGGTAGAACCGATCCCGGGTCAGGTTAAGGTTCTTGTAGAACCGATCCAGGGTCCAGTGAAGGTTCTGGTAGAACCGATCCCGGGTCAGGTTAAGGTTCAGGTAGGACCGATCCCGGGTCCATTTAAGGTTCTG